TTAGGAATTGTTGAAGTAATTCGTATTTCGTACCGAGTCAGATCGCGGCGGGCAACTGTGCGCAAGCGGTTTAAAATGCGCACAACTGCCCATTTTCCGTATACTGTATGACTAGCACTAGTTTTTCCGTTTCTTTTTGGCATTACTATTTTATTTTGCCATTTCATTTTGCCAAAGTCTATGTGCATTATTATTATATTAGTTTTATATTTTTTCTTAATATATATAATATACATTTAAAATATGTTTAATATATATTTATATTGCAATATAATGAATGTATGTTCTGATTTCTATGTCAACATTCCACAATTCATTCATTTCTTACGACTTTTGTTTTGCACACAATTACCCGACGCGCGAGAAATTTTTTTGCTTTTCCGTTTTTTCCTTTTTGCCAAATACAACCTTATTGAATGAAAATCTGTTCAAGATAAGGTTACGTAATGATAGAAGAATGTTTATAGTTTCTATTTCCATACTTATATCGCTTGGAACTTAGAAAACCATCCCAAGAAAACAAATATCCCTTAGGTGCGCACAATTCGCCCACTTTCCCCTACTCGCCTACGTCGACGAAACATCGATGACCACGTTTATGGGAATCGGCGACGCAATCACACGTCTTGTTCACGCCGCACTGGCTATGCTTCAAGAACAGTTGGCATTGAGATTGCTGCTCGCATTTCTCACCAATCCAGGAAGCGGCTTTCAAACACCGCTGATCGCCCTTGGCCAACACATAATCTATTTCGCAATCGCATCTGTTGTGCACACACTTTGAATTCTGCACAAAGCATTCGTCATCGCCGTTGCAGTGTTCGCCCAACTCTGAAAAGCACTTTAGATTTAACAAATCTAAATTTGATAAATTCTAAGATACTTACAAATATCATGAAAATTGACGAACTGCTTTTTTTGTAAAGAATTTCTCATCCTTTTTTATTTCATATTTATTGATTTAAAGAGAACTAGTAATATAAATATAAAATTGTTCTTGTATGATATAATACATCGTTAAATTCATTAAATAATCATTTAATAATTACTTTAAATAGTATGCGACTATTAAATTAATATATATTAATTTCTTAAATTTATATTATATATTATAAAAAATATTAAGTATTATATCGTATAAGTTACATAAAAGTATAAAAATTATGTGAATTAATTAATATTAAATTAAGTAAATTTTAGAAAAAAATAAAATAAGAATTGAAAAGGTTAGCACAATTGCAAATTGAAAAACGATTCTTTAAATAAGATAAAAGAAAGATTCTTGCAAAAATATTGAATTTATAACCATTTTTATAATTCCTGTAGTACTTACTAGCACTTGGTAAACAGTTGGTATTGTCAAAATTCTCGTGATGATGCAAACCGCAAGAGCAGAAACCGTATTCACAAAAAGTATTCTTGATGTGACAATTACGGTTTGAGCGACAACGTTTTCCCAAACCTAAATGCAAGAAGAAAATAGTAACTGTAATTCTAATTATTAGGTGTACAACTTTGCTTCCGCCGTTTTTTTTTCCGAAATTCGAGGTTTTATTGTAAAAAATTATACGTTTATGATTCAAAGTACATCGCTGGCCACTACTTCCTCCCATCTTTCGGGCAGCGTACGAATCCCGCGTCGAAAAATCTGGTCATCTTTTGAGGCGATCCACGAATCGATCCAATTTTTTACTCTTCATAAGACCGAAAGTGCTGGTCAGCCAGGCCGTGTGCCATTGATCGAAACAAATGATATCAGAGGGAGCAACGACTAGAGAATACGGCGGGTGGGGTGGGACTTCCCATTTCAATGTTTCCAAGTATGTCTTGACCACTTTCGCAACATGGAGTCGAGCATTGTCATGCTGCAAAATCACTTTATCGTGTCTCTCGTTGTATTGCCGCCGTTTGTCTTTCAATGCTCGGCATCAATTGCGTTCGATGCCGATCGCCTGTGATTGTTTCAGTCGGTTTTAACAGCTCATAATACACTACACCGAGCTGGTCCCACCAAATACAGAGCATGACCTTGGAGCCGTGAATATTCGGTTTGGCCGTCGACGCGGAAACATGGCCGGGAACTCCCCATGATTTTCTGCGCTTGGGATTATCGTAATGAACCCATTTTTCGTCCCCAGTCACAATGCGATGCAGAAATCCCTTCCGTCTTTGCCTTTCAAGCAGCTGTTCACAAGCAAACAAACGCCGTTCAACATCTCTCGGCTTCAACTCGTACTGCACCCAGTTTCCTTGCTTCTGAACCATTCTCATGGCTTTGAGGCGTTTTGAAATGGCTTGTTGAATCACTCCTAATGATCGTGCCAATTCTTCTTGATTTTGACACCAGTCTTGATCAAGTGATGTCTCCAATTCTGCATCTTCGAAAACCTTCTCTCTTCCCTCGCTATGCCGGTCATCGACGTCAAAATCACCATTCTTGAAGCGTTGAAATCACTCACGACACGTTCTTTCACTAATAGCGACCTCACCATAAGTATTTGAGAGCATTCGATGAGCCTCTACCGCAGATTTCTTCTTATTGAAGCAGAAAATTAAAACCTCCCGCAAATGACGATAATTTGGCTCATAAACTGATGATGACATTTTCAATCGATAATAACTTTATGATGCAGATACAAATCGATTAATGTTTCTATGGGTTATGTTGACAGATGCCCAAGTTTATTGTATGACGTCTATGATCTATTTATTTCGACCACCATTTACCGCTAAAGCCATCTATAGGAAAATGGCGGAAGCAAAGTTGTACACCTAATACCATACATAAGTTGATGTTTATTCAATTAACCGACTTTTTTTACATTAGATTGTGCAGAGATGCAAACAAATCGTAAACATAGATAATTTATGTGCAGTGGAAGTAATGCTAACGATAAAAGATGAGAAGCGTTATTTTATTATCTTACGAGTAATTATTCATAATTTTGCTTTATGGCACTGAATAATAGACCATTGCATCATCTCTTGCTATTACAAACTAACTCGGGTTATTTATTTTTCCCATAAATATGCACAAAGAAAGATTGGCTAGGCTTAGGATACTTCCCAGGGAAAATTGTAACTGACTCACCAATGGACTCGTAACACCTCCCGTCCGTGAAGTGAGAATCGTGGGCACATTGACAAGTGCCTTCTCGACATTCCGATTGCGATGTAAACGTGAACTCACACTGAATGTCCTCTTCACAAGGATCGCCGATGTGACTAGCCACTGTTGAAATAACGTGTCTTATGCCCCTGTCTCTAAATGTTTCGCATTTTATTACGTCTATACTAGCGATGAAAGAATTTCTCGCCTGTATAGTTAACAAGAGTTCGAATAATCTTTCTCTCTTTGTGAATGTACGGTATTCGGAAATAATATTGTTAAATACGTAATGCCAAATTCGCCAAATATGTATAATCCAACACAATTTTTAAGCATGATTCAGAGTTCATATATATAGTTGGTAAGTAAAATATAATCATACATACTCAAAGACAAAGAGTAGCAGTAACTATAAAGGTGACAACTATACAAATTTTATACGTAGAATCAATGTACAATATAATATAGTTGAATAAACTATTTTATAATTATTACTGCGTACAGTTGCAGTAACTGTAAAATAATTTATTCAACTACATGTAAATTAATTCTACATATAAGCTTACTAATAATTGTCACGATTGCCATCACTATGTTTCTCTCTGCGTACGAAGTCCAACATGCGATTTTAATCGTAAAATGTTAGGCTAATATTGGGTCGATAGAACAATGACCTAATTCTTTGAAGTTTACTTTAGAAGTTAACTTTACATTCAATCGCTTTACGTTCATGTAGAAAAGATCTCTTATCCAGAATCGGATTTACGCTGTCCTGACTCATTCATAGAGATTATTCGTGATCTCTGTCGGCTCAACGAGCACGACGAACGATATGCTCCAGGTGAGGTGGGATCGTGAGAAAGGAACGGATAGGAATAGGGATGAACGGATATCTCCGTGGGAATTCTCATTTCTAGGGTCGATGACATTGTTCTCGACTATTCGAATAATTAGACCGAGATTCAGAACAGCGCTCGAAATTTCTTTAAAATCTTTTTTTATTTCTAATTTACGTTAATATTAATAAATAAATAATTAATATGATCACACTCTAGAAAAATGCGATAAAATACATAGAATACCTCTCAGACGTTTATAGTTGATACCATCATTAACAATAATAATATTATTATTGAATATGCAGTGGCAATTAATATATTATTGTATAATATATTATCAAACAATATATTCTCATTTTATAAGTTAAAATAACTTTGTTCAATCTTTTATTTATGCGCAACCGTATCGTTGGTAACGACTGATTCAATCAAATATATATTTAAAATGCAATTGTCTCAGACATGCATAACAATTTAGAAAAAGTAGAAAACTTCGGGCAAAGATAAATAAAACTGTTTATTGTGTGGCAAAAAAATCCATATCTGAATATCGCACTCGAGAAATGTATAAAATATATAGAGTAGGTACCTCTCAGACATTTGTAGTTATTGTTAATCCTAAACTCGATGTGATCGTCCTTGCATGAGCAGGTCTGTTGATTCCGACAAAACGCATTTGGAATACAGTCGACATCGTATTTACACTGCGAGAAGGTTTCTGAAAAAAAATATATTTGTCTCATTTGTGATACAATACGTTATTTATAGAGTTAGATCTAAACTGAACTGAGTGTTATGCTCAAAACTTATGCTGTTAGTAAAATCATCACAGTTCATAATCGAAAAAAAAGTAAAAAGAAGCTATGTAAAATTTTACATCTAATTAAAAAATAAAGGAATATAAAAGACGATAACGGATGTATCAAGTAATCGGTTTTGTACTACGATTGCTGGCCAATTTACCATGACATAACGAGTACAGCTTAATCGATTAGACGCGATCCGTGAAGACTGAACGACCGAAGGTTCCTTATATTTCACGGCAGTTGCGCGTTCCGGTATTCGTTTTTGTCCCCATTAATTAATTCGTAGAAATGAAAGCTAAAGTGTACTACCTATACTACTGTTATTCGTCTAAACTTTGGTTGCTTACTATTGCTCCGATTACTGTTACTGCGATCGTTGCATCGCAGGGACGAATCTTCATTGCCGTTGATGTAGGTGATCGTCGCGCAGACGGTAACGGGTACGAGGACGAGGAGCCCCGTGAAGCCGCATATCGTCCATGTCCTCGTCATCCTCGCGACAACGGCGGACGCAAGCCTCGTACGAAACGTTTCATCACCATCGGCCAACTTATTGTCATTTTCGGATCTTGCGAGAAGAGACCAGAGATTGTCCGACCGACCGATCGTCCCGATTGCTCGAAGGCCGCCACGTCACGATCCCAACAACCGGCTTACCGGCTAGGTTTAGCTCACGATGACGATCTCATTGTTTTCTCATCCATTCAATCGTTGCGCAATCGTAGGCAGGGATTATACATGGGTACATTCTCAGGTGAACATCATCGAGGCGTATCCCGCGTAATCATCGTTAAATCCCCTTGACATTGTCTATCACTTATGCCTGTCGCTTCATCCTCGTCTGTTTAAGGCGAGACATCGACGAAACCGCTGTCATTCGATTTTCAACGAATTGACCTGGAACTTTGTTCGAGTTATGAGGTCTCGTTAGAATATTCAAAATAAAAGATTATGAGATTCCGACTTGAACCGTTAGAAAAATCACTTTGCGTGAGATCGATTTTACATGATCTGCGATTTTCGTTTTTCAAAACTGATTTCAAAAAAAATTTCGGTAGAGCTTAAAATGTCCAATGATTAATCAAAGAATCGATATTTTCTTCAGTAGATAAATCGAAACGGCGCGTCGCGTTTTTTTGTTGTTGGATTCAAAATTCGCATCGAATGACGAAATCTAATTGAGATTCCCAACATAAAAAAATTTTTCTTTTACTATAATTTTAATTTACAATAAATAATTACAAAAAATCATTATACCAAATTTAAATTGAATCGTGCTACGGCACGTAATTGATAATTATCTTATTATACGATTTTAGTTGATTTTAAATAACTAATTTTAGACGTTTCCAATTTCCACAAACGATCGAAAAGAAGCTCGTCGCTTTAGCATCGTCTTGTTTTGTCGATTTCGACAGGCGAAAGATACAATTTAGAGCGTATTCTTACGTATTCCGTTGCGAATCGATTTCGACTTTAATGCGCAAATATTGCACATTCATCGACAATAATCGTTGAGAACAGTTTTATGCGCGCTGATCGAGTTGTCACTGACGAGCAACAGGTGCTAAAATGTCTTGACGCGTCTTAGTACCGTTCGATTTGAATTAGAGCTGCATGTCGAAGTATCCTAATAGTGAATATGCGAAACATGTGCTTAAACCGCGTTCGTATTTATATACGAACGCGGTTTAAGCACATGTTTCGCATATTCAGAATCTCTTCAAGACAAACTGTAAGCTTAATATAGAGTATATTGCTATGTTCAGAGCATTTAATGTAGATACTGAAAAATTTATAAAGCAAGTTCTCCAATTTTCCAAAATCATGATACGTTTTGTTTTGAAATTTTCCTAGCTTATATGTGCTTTTTTCTTTTTAATAATTTTAATAATATATTAAAATAACATTAATTTTGTTATAATATTAATATTTTCTGTATTAACAGTAATACCGATAATATACTATTTTATTTTATTTTACTTCTATTTTAATAATATTATAATAACGTTAATATTATTATTATTAATATATCTTTATATTGATATTAATAATGTTAATAATAGAGGAGTACAAACTCATATTTCGTAGGTTTGTGGCTTGTTTCTATATCAAATCAGCTAAAAACAAATTCTACAAATGCAAAAATAAAATTCTTATGATTTTCTTTTGCAAATTGTGAGGTTTAAATAATAGTGACTATATTATTGATAATATTACAAATAAGTTTTATTTATATAATATTATTTTTTCTCTTAGTCTTTTCATAATATTCAATAATAATTTTTAATTTAAAATTGGGGTGCAGCGTAAACCGACACTCCTGTCCGTAAAACAGGCCATGAGCTAACTTAATCTTTATAATGCTGCTTTATAGTGTCAAATAAGTCTATTGGAGCTGAAGGCAATCGTGCATATATGGAACAACTCTAGAAAAACTATCGCGTTACATATTTGCATCTTGCAGAACAGCATAAAGTAAATATGCATATAATTCAATAAAAATGTTTTATAACGAAGTAAAATGATTCTGAAAAATCTTATATACATTCACTTATAGATACTTTATACAGATAATTCCTGTAAAAGAAAAAAAATAGGAATACGTAGCATTACTGCCTACTGTGTCAGTTTTGGAGCCCATTTTATCAGGCGCTCATTTTTGCATAACTTACAAAAAATTTAATTGTTGCAAAATTGCAAACGGTATTATAAAAATTGCTTATACTATCTGACAGAAGACACTTTTTATTTTGTATTTATGTTTTTGAAGTTGTATTTTTACCTTTTGTTTAAGAAATATTGTCTAAAAACAAAGTGGTATGTCAGTATCGATGACCTTCCTCTATATTACTTTATTTTTTATTTTACTATTCTATGTAGATCCAAAGCTTCCGTCTTCATGTTTTCTCCAAAGCGTGATTAAGAGCCTTCGCTTTTCAATGTCGCAGGTTTATCGACACAACACCGTGGGTGAAGTTTCCCGCTTTGGATTTCAATGACGATCCCGTGAATGCTCGAAGGTTGATCGTGGTGAACAAAACGAGTTTAGCGCCCTAAGTTTCTATAGTTTCAGTTTGCGTTGCGCAACACGGTGCTACATGTATGTACTACAGTAGAAGCTATTGTTATGTGTCAACAGTATCGTATTGTGAGCGAAAGCTATTCGAACGCTATGCATTCGCTACATCTTTATTCCAACACAATGATCGTAATATAATCAACTGAATATAACGGTCGTCTTATAAAAAATATATATAAAATAAATGGAAAATTTAAACAATAAGATTTGAATAAAATCGAATAATTAAATCGAGTTGCAGTTTAATGAATCACCTTTTGATAATCACGATAACATTAATTACGTTAACAATTTTATTAATTAATGATATCAATTAACAACATAATTAAAGCGTCGGTAAATCCACGTTGATTTAATGATATCCGACTTGCACAACGCAAAAGATTTATGCAACTTTGAACTTAGTTGAAAACCCGATGTGCAATAATCTCGCTTCCAAAATACATTGTTAAATCGAATAACAGAGGCGAGCGTAAGAAACGGGCCCACCTTTGTTCTTTAATTATGAACGATTCTACTCGACATTCACCTAACTGTGAGAACCAGGAGCGTAGATCCGGTCTCCACGACTTCGCGATCTTCGCGATTCTCCACGAAGGAGAGGAAAGAATCACTGGGTCATACAAATACTATTTTTAAAACAGTCGTGCTTGTGATTTCTCCTAAATTAAAATGCAACAGTTTGATTAAATGAAAATCACTTTAAGATCCGTTTTAGCAATTATTTGAGAGACTCAATATCTGATAATCAATAATAAATTTAATTTATCTTTGGGCACTTCGGGCATTCTTGAAATAAAATTTTCAGCTTTAATTCTCATAATTTTCACTAAGAATATCATGTAACTAGATTTATATGTTTATGTGTTTATAATGATTGTATCGTGATACTAAGTAAAGATTGAATTAATTTTTTACAGAGAACATATTCTTTAAACATATATATATATATATATGTATAATAT